ATATTGTGCCGAGATACGACTTGAAATAGATCAAGTGCTGAGTTGGTGAACCCCTGCCATCAAAAAGAGTAAAGTTAATCAAATTAAATTTCTAGGGATAAGGAATCAGGTCCCACTCCCTCGGGTATGGGTATGGAATGCCCGTTTTTTTCACTTCTTAGGCAGTCATCAAAGCATTAACTTTGCTTTCAAGATCATGCATCTTCTTGTCCTCTTCTTCACTCTTCTTCAAGTAGATCTGTGGAGGTTGAGGATGATTTGGTTGGACCGCTTCCAGAGTTGTCTTTATCTGGAGGAGGATCATCGAAGATAGTCTCATCTTCTTCGTTACGTCGGCTGGACTCCGCTTTCTGGCTTGATTCCGGTTGGTGTTCTTCGTTACGTCGGCTGGACTCCGCTTTCTGGCTTGATTCCGGTTGGTGTTGCTGAACTTGCAAATCTCACATCTGTTGCATGGTCAACTCCATCTCGGTCTTGAACTCAGCTCTAATTTCTTCGCGTTGTTTAGCCAACGCTTCCTGCATGGTCAACTCCATCTCGGTCTTGAACTCAGCTCTAATTTCTTCGCGTTGTTTAGCCAACGCTTCCTGTAGTATGTGAGCCAGTTGATCCGGCGTGATCGCGAATGATTCTCTGACTCGCCCAACACTGGACGCGGTATCGTCCGATGTAATGGCGGAACAAGTATCTGACATTTCTTCATCCGAAGATAGCCCCTCGTGCATTCTCTTGTAATCTCGACGTAGGTTGGCTCTTCTTTGTAAAGAGAAATCAGGGTCGTGGTTAACTGACTTTTGTTTTCCTTTGTTGGTCATGTTGATAGTGACCTCAGGGAATTCATCTTGTCGGATTACAGGTTTCTTCTTGTTGAAACGTCTCATTTTGGGTCTTGACGCTTCATTGGACAATCTTTGAAATACGGAGACTCTTGTTGGATTATTTTTAGAGCAACCGCATTCTGTCAATACTGCCTTAATGAGCCTCTCGCATGCGTAATGGGACTCATCTTCTCGGACACTTCTCTTTCTTGAGTCATTCTTCTGATAGTACAACTCATCATTATTGTGATTTGAGCAACCTATCTTTTGCCTTTGAACTTTGTTAACATGCACAGGACGACTGGTCGTCGCCTCTGAGCGATCCAAAGTTGAATTTTTAAATCCACCCCATTGCGGGTGTGGAGTTTCCAGAGGTCCTAAACGAGAGTGAACTGGTATTCTTTCGTTTTGGACTGGAGTAATTCTGACAGGAGGATGTTTACGACCCTTTGTATAGGAAACCACTAAGGGTTTGTTTGCTGGACTTGGATCTTCTTTGATTGGGGCTTTGCCTCGATTATCAACTGAAGGACCGAGGTGATCCGCCATTGTGATCTTGAATTCGGACAAATCTGGGCTAACCCAGGGTTTCACTGGTGATGTGGTAGATGCTGTCGTAGTTTTAGGACCAGGATTAGGTGTCGATGGAACTGCAGATGTGGTTTTGCGACGGAGATGAGCATCACGACCACATGAAGTGCCGCAGCAGTCCTCACTGTCGCAGTTGAGCAAGGTGCCGCGGCAGTTCTGACTGCCGCGGTCGAATAAATTACCACGGCAGTATGAGCTGCCGCGGTTAGAGTTTACACCCTTTGTAATTTTTGGGTATTTTCAGTTTTTGGAACCCAAGCTTTGCAGTTCTTCGATGACTTTTCAGACACCATTTCCTTCTTGTTCCTCTGCGCTTGTTGACAAAGGGCACGAGCGCGAGCCGCCTTTGCTTGACGCCTTTGTATACGCTCTTTGAGAGTAGAACGGGCTCTTTTGACCAGAGTCCATTCCTCCGTCGTAAGCTGTGCAGAGATGTGATTGGTTTGCCGTTGAGGCAATTGGTTCACCTTTTGCTTTCTCGATTTTAAGTCCGTATAGTAATGGACTCCGTCGGTTTGTTGCATGGCCTTAGCCAATTGACGAGCGCGGCGCTGGCGCTGTCTCTGACGAGCCCTCTTTGTCATTATCGGCTGGCCATGATTTAATGACTCTTTAATTGGTGCAGAGTCATTAGGAGCAGAGATGTTGCAGAGAGATCCCTTGGCGATGACTTGGCAAGAATCTTCATCTGCGGTCTTCATCTGAATTGAAGACTTGAGAACTTTCTTGGGAGAGGAAGTCTTCCTGCACCTGCGATGCGAGGGAGACTTTGAGGATGAGGACGACAGGTACTCCTCAAATTTTGCTTGATCGAATTCGTATTCGATCTCTTCAGTGACGATGATCTTAATCGGCTGTGACACTGCGGTCTCGACAGCGAGATCGCTGGCTCCTACTGTGGTCGCCAGTTTGTTTTCAGCGAAAGTTGACTCCATTGTCGATTCCATTAAACTTTGATTTGTTTACACGAAATTACAATGAAAATAAACGAAAATACAACTTTCGAGAAAATAACACAGAAATTGTTTATCAACTCCTGCTTTGTGGGACTTTGCCTGTGCCGGGAGTGCTTTGGCTCGTTGACCACCGATTCACAGATCGTGAAGGTGTTTGGGGATCTTTCCTTCGTTTATTGAAGTAAAGATTTGAAAGCGAATATCTTATCGATGTAAGATGTTCGCTCTTCCAAAGATCAAGTCTGAGCTTAGATCGCTAGGAATCACCAAATGATGCTTGTCAAAGGGTAAAAATTCTCTCAATTCCTCAAAATCAACAAAAGCTCTTGTCTCTTCTGCTCCAAAATGCCCTCCCTCCTTTATTTCGTGTATAGGGAGGTATTTATAGGGATAGGAATGCACCACAGTTGAAACGGGGGCAAAATAACCGACCTGATGTTTTCTCTTTGGCCGCTGCAGTCTACACTGCCGCGGCTATTGGCGCGGCAGTGTAAGCTGCTGCGGCCAAAGAGGCAGTTACCAGCACGTTCCATCGTGCCTAAAACCGTTCTCCCACGATCTTTAACCACCTTTTTCGTGGTTTAACTGCTTGTCCACGTCAGCACACGTTCTATTTCTGATATATCGCCACGTGAGCCTCAAAACTCATCGTATAACTGCCTTGTAACCGCCACAGCACTCCTTTATAATAGCCGCGGCACCTTAAGCTGTTGCGCCTAAGCCGCGACACCTTAAGCTGTCGCGCCAAAGCCGCGGCACCCTAGGCTGCAGCGCCTAAGCCGCGGCGTCATAGGCTGCCGCGCCTTAGCCGCGGCACCATGTCCTGCCGCGCCGCAGTGTGTTGCCTGATGACGTGTATATTGTTCTTCTATGTTGTCTTGAGTGGTATTTGGATGTCTGTAAGCATTTTTTTTGACGCCTACAGCATAATGTTATACTTGATCTCGGGGGCGAGTGCCAAATGAATTGTGCTGACAAACTTCTTTTCTATGAAACTTCATTCAGCATCCTTCATCTCTTCAAGCTTCTTCTCCTCTAAAGCTTGATCAATACCCTACTGCACAAGAAAAATTTGAATCGTACACTACTACACTACAAATTTTGTCTTACCATTAGATAGCGGAATATCGAATTTCTGTCCCAAAGATGTCATCGTCCTCTAACCAAATTCAAATCAGTCATCGTAAAACCTGAATTTGGTAGAACCAACATCGAAAACGAACTCAGCACATCGAAAAACCCTAGGAACGACTCCTAGATCGTCAAATTCCACCTCCAAGTCCTCGATCAGAAGATAAATCGATGTGCATTGTCGGATTTGATTTAAAAAATAATTTTCAACCAAACCCTCACCCATATGAACAATGTTCCCGCCGCCCTGCTATAGTAACATTCTTTTTTATTTTTCTTCACGTGTTGTTCATGTGATTCCTCTCCTCCAATGGTGTCCGGTTCTCTCACTTGCTCGATGTCGATCACCGCGCCTCGATTGCTGATGCTTTCACCAATCGCACATCACTCGAACCTCTACGAATGTCGAACCCTGCTCCGATACCACTTGTTGGGATTTTAGATCTCGCAAAAACATCGAAATAATCACCAAACGCAGTAAAGAGAATCACATACAAGATTTAACGTGAAAAACTCTCAACGGGGAAAAACTACAGATTGAAAACAATACAATATCACCTTCAAATTATAATATTTTGCGTGGATAAAGACTATGATACCCTCTCTCTCAGAATATTCTTGAACTCGGTTACACTCTCTGTTAAACCCTGATTATAAGAATATTGTATCTCTCTCCCTCTCTACTCTAAAAAACCCTAAAATAGAATGTATTCTTTAAAGACACTCCTGACTTGCCCACCAAGTCAACTTGGTCTATAAGAAAACTGTTAACTTGGCCTCTCTGAAAGCTACTAGGACTGAGTCTAGCCTTCAAATCCGGATCTAATTTGGAGTTTGAGTCAGCACCCAACATATCTAGCATTGCTTTAAGCTTAGCTAGGACCATTATGATGCATCGAGTAAGTCCTGATATATTAAAGAAATTATCTTAAGGGTTGATACACTCTTGGTGACACCAAAATGTTTGAGGGTTTGATCCGTATTTCGAGTAAAGCTAAAATGGCAGTTAGTTGATGATATAACTCATTCATTGATCTTTACTATGGATATCATGGTAACAAGAATTACTACCTACCTTTATGCCTTCACATTACAACAAGATGGAATGTTGCAACAATGTAGAGTATCTTCTTAGATTTATGTCTCAGTATGTGCATTTTATGTCATTATTACTTACGTACGAGGTTTCTAAGAAACTGAAGTCTGAAATAACTTACTTCAACCATTACAAATTTCTTAGGGGAGATTTACTTTTTGCAATTATTTATAAAAGTAGCCCCTCCGCCCTAACGCCCAAATTTCCCTTTTTACTATGAAATCATCAAATTTGCGAGGGAAAAAAAAACAGAACTTTGGTGTCCGTCGTATTTCAAATCCATATTTTAGTGGGCGCATTTGCTTTTGCTTAATGAGATTAATGCTTGTCTTGATAATATGATCAAAATTATCTTGTCACCACCAAGGTCCGCGCACCGAGCTTAATGATTTGTTTCGCATTCTTCAGTTCGTCTGTTGTTGCTTGATAAGGTCAAAGATGTGCAAGGTATACAAACGGTGAAGGAGGCTATTTCAAGGCAGAAAGTATTTAGTGGGCATCGTTTACCCTCCATTTTGCGTATTTAGCTTATATTGTAAAGCTTTGGTTCTCATTACTCCGTTATATAGCACGCAATGGTTTTTAGTTGTAGCTCAATTCCATTTGAAGCACTTAAAAGGAATATTGTTCAAGAGCCTATATGATTTCTGAATTTAGAATGGCTTTTTCCATCCAATATTCAATTATCCAGGCTTACATTGTTGGTGTTATTATTATTATTATTTGCGTATTTTAAAATTGCGAGACAACTTTAATCCTCTGTTCAAATTGCGGTGCCTGATGGAGGCTTAGGCCCTTCCGAGTAGTGACGGAGGCACGTGCTTTAGAAAGGGGTTAAAAGAAATTAATAATTGATCACAGTAACATATCGTTTAGCATGATTGATTAGTATATAAACATTATTATATAACTAGACTTTCAAAAATTAAATTTTAGATTAGAATATAGTGTTTACGAAGCATCCACAATGACTACAACTCCATAATGTATCAATCTTTCTTGAAGTTCTAAGATCCCGAGTTAACACAACTAGGGGAAAATTTTTTAGCCAGAATGGATTACCCGAAAATTCTATTAAGGATTGTTTTCATCAAAATTACCCACGCTTAAATTATACGCGTTAATTTCACTAACCCCCCTCGAACCCCCCCCCCCCCACCCACCCACCCACCCACCCACACCAAATTTAAGCCTATCTCACTGGAATCCCTTGCTTGTAATATTACAAATATCAATTTTTTATAAGAGAAAATCTAAAGTTTGTCATTTATTATTACAAGCAACGTATTCTGGGGGGTTATGTAAAATTAAATTTAGGGGGTTTATGGGCATCGCTCCGCAAAGTTAGGGGGGTTTAGTGAAATAATTAACCCAAAATTGTATCCGTCCAAGGTTTCTCTCCATAAGTTTATCAATAAACATCCCATTAGGCATAACAATTAGATTTTGGTTCACATTTGGTTCGTAGGATGTTAAAAACCAGTTAGTTCACTGAACATGTCCTAAAATACCAATAAATCTTTAGATAAAAAATGAAAAGCTAATAGCATCGAGAATAAAGATGAAGAGATAATCATATAAATTCGAAAGAAGAAGAAAAAAAAAAAAGAAAGTACTCACAAATCAACCAATTGAGAAGTAAAACTCTCAAACTCTGAAGATCACCTCCCCTGTAATCTTACATATTTTCATTTTTAGGCTATATCGATCCAAGGAATCTTACAAATTAACATCTTTTTAGACCAAGTCTTTGGATCTTACATGTCAACCAATTACCCCTTACCTGTAAGTTTATTATTATTATTATTATTTTCTAGGAGTAAAATTCTCAATCTTAGAAGCTCGCCTCCCCTGTAATCGTAAATATTAGCTTTTCTAGGCTACTGTCCCAGGAATCTCACATATTAACATCTGTTTGGACTAAGTCTTTGAATCTTACATGTAACCTAACTACCCACTTTCCTGTAAGTTTTATTATTATTTTTTAGTTTGGGGTTGGGGGTGTTAAGGGGAATTATCATGGACCCCTTTGTCCTTATGTGGCCCTAATACTCTTGCGGTTGGGATTGTGGAAGGAAGGTCTTAGGACTCCTTATACTAGATACTAAAATAAAGTGACAATTGTTATATATAATATATATATATACTATATATATATAAATATATATATGAGAGAGAGAGAGAAGAGAGAGAGAGAGAAACTTATGTCAAACTTAAGTGGACGTCCACTAAGTTTCTCGATATTGATGATCACTTGATTGAGCTACATTGTGGATGATCCGCTCCGTTAAACTTGATCTACATATTCTAAAACCCAACACACCAAAATTTGGGGTGAACCCGTCGTGGTTTGACCTCCGTCGAATCATGTAAAAAGTTCTATTCATTCGAAACCGTTAAAATTAATACGAGTGGATGAAGGGTCAAACCGGCCGACGGGTTCACCCCAAATTTGGTGCGTTGGGGTTTTAGAATATGTAGATCGAGTTTAACGGAGCGGATTATTAACAATGTAGGCTCAATCAAGTGATCATCAATGACTAAGAAACTAAGTGGACGTCCACTTAAGTTGACATAAGTTTCTCTCTCTCTCTCTCTCTCTCTATATATATATATATATATATATATATATATATATATATATATATATATATATATATATATAATATTATAAAGTGGGCAAGGTTTTTTGCTAAATGAGTCATTCAGAAATAGACGACAAGTGAGTGAGGTCTATCCTACCGTGTGAGTCTCATTACTTTTACCTTTTGGTAGCTCATTTATCATGCAGTGTCTATCTTTACATTAGTTTTATCAAAGAATTTAATGATTTATCTCATTAATATGCCACTTCACATTCTCTTTCATGTTCCCTCTTCCCAAACCAGCAACCGCCTCGTCAAAAATGAGAACTAATTACAATGCGCCGCACGAATAACAAACTATATCGACCAAACGAGGAGCCAATTCGAATTAGTTAAAAGTTTGAATCACCTTCCTTTAGCATCTATTTTTAGGGGTCAGCTGTCATAGATATGTGACACACCATCAAGAAATTCAGACCTTAAGCCTTCAAACGTGGGGCTTATTATAGGATCATATATATATATATATATATATATATCATATCATATCATACTCCCTTTAAAAGCACGAGTTCGGAAAATCTTTTTTAGACAAATATACCCCTTTATAGTTTGAACTATCCTATCTATAATCAAATTCTAATTTTTGAATTTAATTTAATGACAATTTTCGTGAGAAATTGCTTATTCGTGAGCTAAATCAAACCTGTAATCTGTTATTTTCATGATAGGAATAAGTAATTACACAATTATCCGTAACAGATTTGATATTATCATAATAACAGAACATTTATCCGTAATCTGTTCTTAAATCCGTAATAAAAGATTATTAAATCCGCATAATAACAGTGAAATTATCATAATAACAGAACTTTATCATAATTGAATTTTGAACATTTATCATGTGTTAAATTTAATGACCATATATCAAGTGTTTCATATGCGCATGGACTCTTTATCTGTTCTTTAAATCCGGCGGCCGGGTGGGTCAGCGACAAAACCGACCGCGGCTCGCCGCGGCGTCGGTTCCATCCTGACCCCGCGGCCGCGGGTCGGAATCAACGACCCGCCGGCGGCGCGGGTCCGTTGCCATCCGACCCGCCGCTAGCGCGCGGTCAGACTTGTATGCTGCGCGCTGTTTTCGATCGGGTTCGGTTTTTTATGATTTTTTCTCGAATTATTTGTTTGGTTCCAGAGGTTCCCAACCTGACTTGATATCATTACAAACGTGGTTAGGCTGTTGTCAACTGCAGATAGAGCCAAATCACTTGTTCTCATCCAAATACCGCATTCTGAGGCCTATAAATATGAGTCAAGGGCCTCCATTTTTTGAAGGGCGATTGAATTATCAAGCACGATGGAGGTCTTTGCCGATTGTGGAGTTCAAAGCCGAGCACGAATTTCAGCGCAGGGTCTGACAGATCTTGCGCGAGTTCTTCGGCATAGAAGATAGGAGAGTTCGAGAGATCACGACGCCCGTTCCGTCGTCCCTTGAGATTATGCGGCTTGGTCTTAATCTCGAGAAGAGCCTGATTTCGCTGTCGCATTTCAACGCTTCAAATCAAATACTTCCTCGGCGCAAGACGAAGCTCTGCCAAATTTTTCATCAACGCGATCCAGATCTTAGGCGGTCCACGGAGTAAACCCCGGCCCACAGTCAAAGATCCCACGCAAAGCAGAAGAGCCGATGAAACGATCTCTGCCGTTTTTGTTTTGACGACAGTTGTAAACTTTTGTTTTCATTGTGTAAAGTCTTGATAAAAAAGACAATTCTTTTTTGTTGTTCATTGTAACGATTGAAGTTGTAATGAATACCGCAATGAATACATTAACTTTCGACACAAACAACTTGTTGCGCGCGCCTCAAGCAGTGAGTGGTAGCATGCGGGCTTAGTATGCGGCAACGGCAGCGTTTCAAGAATTCCTGATTCTTGCGTTTAAGTTAGTCATTCAATGCTCATCGGAAAGGGATCAATTGAAATTTTGCAGTCTCGCACATTTGCCGCTCTCTTCAAAAGCCACAATACGTTTCATGTCTTCCAGGCGGGGGGCGGGGCGGGGGGGGGGCGGCGGGGGGGGGGGGGGGGGGGGGGGTGGCGGGGGGGGGCGCGGGGGGGGGGGGGCGGGGGGGGGGCCGGGCGGGGGGCGGCGGGGGGGCGGGGGGGGGCAGCGCGGGGGGCCGGGGGCGGGGGGGCGGCGGGCGGGCCCGCGGCGCGGGGGCGGGCGGCGGGGGGGGGGGGGGGGCGCGGGGCGGGGCGGGCGCGGGGGGGGCGCGGGCGGGGGCGCGCGCGGCGGGGGCGGGGGGGCGGGGGGGGTGGGCCAAATTAATGATTCTTCTCGCTCCAGACATAAGACACCAGACTCACAGCCTCAAGTTCAAAGGTAAGACAAGCTCTATTATGCTATTATTTTCGAGAAAAAACTGAAGGGTTTGGTTTTGTCTGCTTACAAAAGCATTTGTGTTTTTTTCATTAGCGATTCTACAAAAGAATGCTAGGATAAAGTTCATCCTTGACAAACTATCGAAGTATGAGGAAAATGGGCGCGATCCACTCTAATCTGAAACAAGCCTGACTTGCATTCCAAACAGCGTTTATATAAAGGAAATTTTATTGCCTATATAATGGATATAGTAATCTAGTTTTTATTACATATAAGGAAATTTAAATATTTTAATGATTTACAAATATTTTGTTTGTTTTAAATCATAGCATAATCTATTGGTCGTATGCACTATGCACTCAAACAAATAAATCTATGCCAAAAACATAAAGTAATTAAAAGCATGCAAAAAGAAAAAGAAGAAGAAGAAGAAATAAATATAATTAAATTAAATCTAAATTAAAATAATATCAAAACATGAAGATTTACCTTGATATATGTGAGAACCTGCAACAATCAAATCTTTATTTCCTCTAAATTCTGCCATGAAATTGAAGAATTTTGAAAAAAAATCAATTTCCATAAAAATTAATTGCAGCGTAAACAAATATCACCATTAAAAATAAATACACAATATTTTTAAAGAATAATCATAAAAATATAAAAAAAACATACATGTTGAAGGAGATGGAGAGTTACTATGAAAATTGTGTAATTCTTGGTTTATATATAGGCATGTGTAT